GCTGAGCTGGAACCGGTGCTGGATCAAGCCAACTTCAACAGCCTGTCGGAGGATGCCCTGGCCTACGCCCTCATCGTGCATCACCCTCAGGATGACGTCCAGGTGCGGCCACCTCTGGGGAGGGGAGCGGCCCATCGGGCACTGCCCCAGTATAACACATGGGAAAAGCAAATTCCTTTCTGCCCCTGATCCCGTGCCCTGCTACTGACCCAGCAGGCCTCTTGCCCCCTGCAACTGCCCCTCCCTTGGTTACCACTTCAGGATAGACCCTCCTGCCTGCCTATAATCCTGTCAGGTATACAGGATTTCCCTTCTCTCCCTGAGCTGTGCAATGAAGAAACCCTATTCCCCACCCCAGAGGCAGCTGCATCTCAACGAGCCAAGGGTCCCTGTATAAACAGCCCCTGCGCCCCACCCGAAAGGGGCTCCGTCTCAACGCTGGGCAAGGGATTGCTGGATAAACAGCCCCCATGCACCACTCCAGTCTCAGCGCCCGGCAAGGGGTCCCCGTATAACCAGCTCTTGTGGTCCTCCCCAGAAGCGGCCGCATTCGAGGGCCAGTCGTGTTGGGAGGACCCAGGCTTAGCAACCCGTCCCGCTGTGTGTTGTGGCTGTAGGTTTCCCTTTGTTCCCCAGGTTTCAGTCAACCTGGATCAGTACGAGTACATCCGGTTCTGGGCCCTCGGCCAGCGTGTTGGAGTCCTCCCGATTAAATCCACGCTGGGGCCTCGGAAGGGGCTGTTCGGCACGGCACGGACCCCCGCGGAAAGGCAAGGACGCCCCCTCTTCTAACCCCTCCAGCCAGGATCTCTAGGAGCAGAATGGCTTGGGGGCGCTGTGCTGAGGGAATGGGGCAGGGGACTCAATAGGGGGTGCTCTCCCCTGGCAGTCAGCATTCGCCCCAAAGCCCCAGGGCGGTGCTAGGGGGCGCTGTTCTGCTAGGGCCTCAGTAGGGGGTGCTGTCCCCTCACAATCAGGGTTGACCCCAGTGCCTCAGGAGTGGAGAGGGGGGCTCAGTAGGGGCGCTCTCCTCCAGCAATCAGTGCTGGCCCCAGGGATTCATCCAGGGTTGCGACCTCCCTTCCCTGCCTCTGTCGGTCGTGGCCCGAGCCATGATTTGGGGGGCTGCACCCGCAGTGCCTGGCCCTAGATCCCACCCCGCTGATGGTGCTGCCCACCCCCAGGCATTATTTCAAGCGGGTGCTGGTGGCGGCCCGGCCCAGGAACGCCCACCTGGTGCTGAAGTGCTTCAAGGACATCCCCTTGGAGGCGCTGGAGCAGCTGCTGCCAGCCGTGAGGATCCGCACGTCCATCTTCTACAAGACGCTGCTGAATGTCACGCTGGTGGTGAGCGGGCTGGTCCTCTTCGTCAACGTCGGCATGGTGGTGCTGTCCGACCTCAAGATCGGCACCAGTTTCCTGCTGCTCTGCTTCGCCGCCTTCATGACCTTCCGCGCCTGGAAGGTAGGTGCCCTGGCGAGGTCGGGGCCGTGCAGTCCCCTGGGCGGGAGATCGGGGACCCCCGTTGCGCCGGGCTCCGTGCAGACCCCGCCTCCCGCCCGAGATCGGGGCCCCCGTGGCGTCGTGCAGACCCCGTTGGGCTGGGTCCTCTGTACTCTCATAGAAACAGGTCCTGCACCAAAGAGCTCACAATTTAAATAGACAAGGCAGAGAGGAAGAGGGGAAACTGAGGCACGGATTGACTAATTGAGTTGACGGCGTCCCACAGCAGGTCAGGGGTAGAGCTGGGAAGAGCACCCAGGGCTCCAGTGCCCTACCCATGAGACCACACGGGCCTGAAGGCTCCCGTCGGTGACTGAAAGGAGCCACCGAGTTGCCAGGCCTTGGCACTTCAGCTACTCTCCTCCCAGAGCTAGGAGATAGAACCCAGGAGTCCGGGCTCCCCGCTGTAACCACTAGACCCCACTTCCCTCCCTGAGCAGGGGATAGGACCCAGGCGTCCTGACCCCGTGCTCCCCACGCAGGTGTTCGGGCAGCGGCGGAACATCCACTCCCTGGAGCTGGCGCACATGCTGTATTACCGCAGTACCTCCAACAACTCGGAGCTGCTGGGGGCGCTGGTGCTGCGGGCGCAGGAGGAGCACGCCAAGGAGCTGATCCTGGCACACAGCTTCCTGGGCCGGCAGCCAGCCCGGCCCCCACACGGCCCCGCAGGTAGGGACCAGCAGGGGGCACTCTCAGCGGGAGGCAGGGCTGAGACACGGGGTCTCCCCGGCAGGGGGCGCTCTCACTCAGGGGGCAGGGCTGAGCGGGAGTGTCTCCCCATCAGGTTGGG